ACTCACATTTTTATTCTACTTTGGTGTTCCTATGTTATATCCTAGAGGATTTTGACATCTACATCATATTTTTAAGAAATGTTTACTCAGTATTTGCTTTTGACATGGACACCCAGGAATTCTTACATTATATGAAAGCCAGGATGCAGGACTTCTTTTCTGCATCATTAAAAAGTAGCTATATCCATATCCAGAGAGAGTGTGTCTAAATTATATGTCTCTATTGGGTACCTCGCCTTGGAGATTGGGGAGCCCTGCAGAAGAGAGGGAGGAAAACCATGGGAGTCAGAGAGGACGGAGAACACGGCCCACTGAGTCAACTAAGCAGGGCTCATATGGGCTCACAGAGACTGAGGCAGTAAGCCTCATGGGTCCGCACTATGTCCTCTGCATATATGTAATGTGTGTTAGCTTGGTGTTTTAGTGAGACTCCTAAAGGTGTGTCTCTGACTCTCTTGCCTACTCTTGGGACTCTTCTTTTCTGTTGGGCTGCCATGTCCCGCATCTCTGTGAGAGCTTTTGCCCTATCTTTAGAACTTGTCTTGTCTTATTTGGTTGCTGTCTCTTGGAGGCCTGCTCTTTTCTGATGGGAGACGTAGCAGGAAGTGAACCTAGGGGAGAGGAAAGGGCGTGGGGGCGGGGCTGGAAGGAGTGGAACTGTAGTCTTGATGTACTGTGTGGGAGAAGAATCTGTTTTCAATTTTAAAAAGCAAAATTAATTAATTAATTAAAAACTAACGAAAAAGCAAAGTCATATCGATGTGAAACCAAAGCAGAAGCAGGATCAGCAGGAGCTGCTGTGTTCTCCGTGGCTCCGGTGTAACTGCCACCGTGGAGCTGACTGGATTTTACAGCCAGCTAAGGACTCCTTTAGCACTGGGTCTTTCAGGGTTTATGCTGTTCATTTATACCTTCTCAGAAATATACTTAGTCAACAACTGGAAAGCGGGTCTCTAAAAATGTGGTATTAGCGAAGGAATTATTCATAGAACTCTCAAATGCCTCCAGATTGGCCCGGCGATGGAGGAAGTCTTCCTTGAAGAAATGGAGACTTTGAACAGAATTCCTGCAAGGAAATAGCTTCCGCAGAATGATCAGTCCTAATAAAAGTCACTGGAGTAAGGTAGACATCTCCCAAACCAGCACAGAATTGAAGTTTCCTGAGATTGTTTTTAAAGATCTGAACGCTTTTACTAATATAAAGAATTCTAGAGATGAAGACTCAGGGCATCCACAGGCGATGCTTGCCTCCTTGCTGTGACCTGGTGGACTGTTCATGGTAGGAGCTGACTTTAGGAAACCTACTGGGTAACAAAGGATCCTTCTTTCGAACATCTCAGCCTGCCAGCCTTCCACCTTTCTCATCTTCATTTCTTTGCTGTTTTGTATGAAATAATAACCTTCACTCACAGTAAGCCAGACTGCCACATTGACTTTGTGACCAAATAGAATCAAATAACTCAGGTTTATGCTCATAATGCTTTAACTTACTTTGCCTCGGTTTTCAATTCCACAGTTATACATTCTGATTCCTATTTATTAAGGATGTGTAAGAGGAAGACCTGGGGATTCTAATGGTCTTAAAAAATGTAATGTAAGCATATCAGTGCTATCACAGGCATATTTATTTAGGCCTGTGGGAAACCCTGCTGTTTCAGATTGCTTCCCCAAGTCATCCTGGGGAAAGAAAATCCTTTGTGTTGACAATATGATTTAACTGGGTGTTTAAAAGCGTTGCCACCTGATGTTCCAATATTCTCTGTTTCATTTTGTGCTTAGAGATGTGTGTGTGTGTGTGTGTGTGTGTGTGTGTGTGCGCGCGTGCACAGATAGGCACACACCACATACTCACGTTGGGGGTGTACACCTATGTATGAATATCCCAGAGATCAAAGGAGGACGTTGGCCATCATGGACACTCTTTGCCTTCTTTCTTTGAGACAGGATCTCTTACTGAGCCTGGAGCTAGGCCGGTAACTGCCCAGCCCAGTGTTCCTTCTGTTTCTGGTCCCTAGAGCACCCAGGTTATAGGTGTGTAGTAATCGTGACCATCCTTTAACGGTTTGCTGGGGATTTGAACTCAGGTTCTCATGTCTGCACAGCAAGTTACTTTTACCTGTTGAGCCCTCATACCAATCCCAAGATGCCTCCTTTTGTTTGCTTAAACTTTAGTTTACTAGCCCCGCCCCCTTTCTGAGTATTCTGAAAATACGTTGGAATAAATTCCTGCCATCTATGCTACTATACTAGAATCATTGACAATGAAACATTGGGAAGATCGTATTTATCAAACCAGGACATGGCCCAGTGAGACTGGAACACTGGCCATTGCTCAGTGCAGGGGCTTGGGTCCTCTGGAGCAGCTGTTTAATCTAACCTTAGCTGCTGGGTGGTAGGTGAGACAAGATGCTAGGGTGGAGATTGACAGCCAGACATCTGCCAATGAGAGAGCAGTCTAATAACAGTATCCTGCAGGACCTGGCTACGCTCACTGAATAGCAGCATCTTGTTCTGCAAAGATTATGTGTGACATCATTTTAGGGGTTGATAGAATCAGACATCTTGGTTCTGCCAAGTTTGCAGAACCTGTGAATCTTCTGGGTGTTTGACAGAGGAGGCAAGAGAGATGGAATGAGCATTTCTATCGTCTGGAGGGTCTTGTCCATTTGACAGAGTCTGTGGTCATCTGAATGGGCAGGATCCTGATCTGGGCCTTCTTCAGCACAAGTGTGAATCAATGGAAGAGCTGTAGAGGAGGTGTTGGAGGCCTGGGCTTTGATTAGTTAGTATATGAAATGTATACTCCCAAGCTAATTGCTTACAGTCTTTAGAAATATAGCCCCCCAGGGGGGTTGTTTCTGCAGGGTAAGCATTTTCCTAGCTGTCAAAGAATCAGAGGTAGAGAAAATAAAAACACATAATTAACGCTCACCAGCAGTGAAGACACTGTGTCATCTAAGGAGCTCTCCTGCAGGCTTTTACCCAGGCGTGGCTGGGATCACGGCTTAACAGTGCAGAAGCTAATTGCAGGATGAGTCAGTATGAAGCACTGGGTTCATTTAGGAAAAGATAGTACATGTTTAGATTTTGGCATGGGTGGAGAGAGGGAGGGAGAGGGACGGAGTCAGGGAGGGAAGAAGAGGCATCCAAGTTTTATAACTAGCTCTATATATGATTATGTAGCTTTTGAAGTTACTTCTCTCAAAGGGGATAATTTACAACCAGGTTCAAAGATTAAGCAGAGTCTAAACCTTAAGGAAAAATGAATATGAGCTGGTTCGCTTTTGCAAATAAATTCCAGTGTGGTTTGCTGGGCGCATTGTTCAGGCTTAGTGATGAGAGAGGAATGAAGGAAAGGTTCTATCCAAAGGTCTCACATACTACAGCCTTCCACATGGTTTCTCTGCTGCTCTAACTTTTGACTGAGACATCTCTCAGAACAGGGACTACTATCTCTCAACAGGCAACTTTCACAGTGATGTTTTTTCTCCTCTCTCTTTTTTCCAAGCCAGTTTCAAAAAATAAATTAGGGGTTGATCCCTGAGGTTCTCTGTCTGTGGGTGTGGCCCCGTGAAACCTCCCCTTTCCGTGTTCACGTGTCTGTTGGCGCGGTCCTAGCTAAGGTCTTGTTTAGGGAATCTCATTATTGGGGTCTCACCTGTGAAGCTTCCCTGTCGTTTCTAGAAGTCACAATCTCTCGGCAGATTTCCTGGTCCTGTGGCTCTTCAAAACTTCCTCTCCCTTTTCTAAAAGGTTCCCTGAGCCTCTGTTGCCAGAGCTGTGTTATAGATGCAGCCCCTGGGACTGAGTACCTGGTGAGCAGGTTTTCTCTGCACTTCTGACCAGTGTGGTTTTCTGAATTGGCCGCCATCTGTTGCAAAGAGAAGCTTCTTTGATGAGGGTTGAGAGCTACGCTTGGGAGGCACTAGGATAAAGCTTTGGAGTGCAGTTGAGTCTTGTGTTGGTGTAGGAGCAACGTGGCAGCAGTAGGTCCTCCTCCAACATTCTCCAACTCACCAGCCCTGGGGAGTTTCCAATGCGAGGCAGGGTTTCCCTCCCCCTGCACGAGTGAAGTCCGACCCGCCAGCTGCTGGCTATCACAGAAGTGAGAGTACCATTTTCACCCCCTCAGGGACATCTTGTCATGAAGGCCTTTGTCGTCATTCAGTCATCCCCGCTGAGCAGGGCTACTGATGCTCCCTTCCCTACAGAGCTGCATAGCACCTTCTATTATGAAAGCTCTTCCTCAGAGAGGAGGCTTTTGGTGACCCTCAAAGGGCTGGAGAGTGACAGCTGAGGCGTTCTTTCTCTGTTTCTTTTGTTTCCACCACACCTCGGGAACTTGTAACGTTGTGCTTAGGGTGAGTAGTTACAGCTGAGGTTCATAAGGACCACACCGTGTGTCTAGAGATTGTGCGTTCATCTGTCCCATTGCAATGCTGAATCACTACTTTGTAGATGAAGAAGCAAGGGCCTTTTTGGTTTAGCCGAGGTCACAGAGAGGCAGGGCAATATTCTTACTCCCTTTGGTAGACTTGGCCTTCATCTCACACAGGCATATCCTGTTTTTTACTTTTTGTTGTGACAGATTTTGTATCGCTCCAATGTTGATGAACTCTTTCCGTTCTGTGTACAATCAGGCTCCATCTTAGGAACGGGCATCAAGTGAGAGAGAGAGAGAGAGAGAGAGAGATTTCTCTTTGCATAGCTGCATAGCAGGCTGGTTTCCAGAGTACAGCTCTCCCGGGGACAGGAGAACTGTTCATGGTTTCTGGTTCTCTATTTGACATCCTCCAGCATGAGGAGAAGCTATGTGACTATAACTGTTGTCTCTCTGGCAGTATTTGTGCTTGACTTTGTAGGATAATACCTTTAAAGAAAAGGACATACACTGTGTCCTGGTATTGGGGAAGCCAAGTGGATGGGCAGAGTGAACTCCAGGGGGCAATGCTGTCCTCCTGTGGAATTGTCCTGATCACCTCTTCTGCTCTTCTTCCCAGCTTGCCACCCATCCTGCCTCATGTGTGCAGGGAAGTCCCCTCACAGCTGCACGGTCTGTGGGTCTGCCCGTGTGCTACTAGCTGGGCAGTGCCTTTCCCAGTGTCCAGAGACCCACTTTAACCTGGAAGGGACCTGTACCGGTGAGTGTGTGCCCTGCTGGGGATGGGGCAGGGGCAGGGTTCCTGTTCTCACATTTGCTCTTTTTGGTGCAACAAGACATTTGATTAAAGATTTTATCCTAGCAATGATGTGGCTGGGCTCAGAAATCCTATTTTCACGCTCGACAGTAGAAAGGTATCATGTGACGAGAACAGGGGAATTAACCTTCCCATGAGGAAGCATAATTAGTAAGAAAATTATAACCAGCTTTGCCTTATAGGCTATAATACTTAAACTCACTCTGTGCCGGGCTTCTCTTCTCTGAGAGGCTATCAATCATATCAAGGGTACTTCTCTCATAAAGTAAATAAAACATTTATGTGGTATAAGAGTCAGAATTTAACTCAACATAACTCTTCTTTTCTATGGCTCTATTTAAAGTTTAAGGCAACTTTTTTGTAGTTATCTCAAGAGCCCGTGCTGAGTGTACCAGATTTGAAAGTTCAGAATGCAAAAGAAGGTGGAGCTTTGAGGGTAGAAATCCCACAACTCCAAAACAGGAACCGCTAACCTGGTGATAGGCTCCACGGGCTATCTTTTCTCTCTGGTGTCCAGTAAGTGAGGACAAATTGGAGTTGTACCTTTTCATATTGTCTCCAAATATTAAGTCATAAACAAACCCCCATATTATGAAAAATTATCGTGAGCGCTGTGTGTATTTACACAATTCTTTGCTATTCTGTTCTGCGTACTCTTTTGTTTTTAAATCCCCATGACTTTTCCTCAGAAGGGCAGGAAGGATTTGAGATGTGGGATTGTAACAGACTCACTCAGGAGCCCCTTTGCTTTCTCTCGGAGGGGTTCTGCCCTGCTTACCTCTTGCCACCCAAAACTAATGGCTTAAAACAACCCAAAGTTAGCGGCTTGTAAACAGCAGTTATTATCTTTTACAGTTTCTGGGATCCTTAGGCTCAGCTTGGATTTTCTCCCTCAGGATCCTTTAGGCAAATCTAGATATATCAGTGAGTTAGATGGGTCAAGAATCCTTCCCGCCCCCATTTTATGAGGCCAGTTCTTGTGCCTCATTGACTTCCTCACAATAGGGCAGTCTCAGTTGGCTAGCCTACCTCCTACTCAGCTGTCTTTCCTTGAAGAGAATATTTCAAGAAATCTAAACAGAAGCTACTGGCTGCCCGGGACCTAACTTTGGGGGTCTCATTGCCCCTTCTCTGTTGTTTAAAGCAGGGCAGCTTAGTTTGAGGGGTGAGGTGGGAGAAGGAGAATGGCCCAGTGGTAGTGACTTGGGGGGCTTTGGAGGTGTGTTAGAGAAGGCCAGGAAGGAAGTAGAGTTAAGGATAGTCTCCAGACTTGTTTCCCTCGGAGGCAGCAGAAAAAGAGCAAAAGGAAATACGGTCTTTATTTCCTTCTTTGATGTGTCTTCCCAACTTAAGAGTACCTCTACAGTCCATAACAGAGATTTCTGAAATTACAGGTTCAGATTAGTAAAGTATTTTATTGGAATTGGCAAAATAGTAAAACTTAAGCACCCTAGGGTGGTGCTGTTTATTCTTACACCTGCAGGGTGGAAAAGATAAACACATTCTCCCAGGAGGCTATTTTGCTTCCAAAAATAGACATTTGAGGCTAGTTGATAGGAAAAAAAAAAACCCTTGCTGTAATGAAATCATTGCCTGTATATTTCTGGAGTCATAAAATGTATAGTAAACTTATGAAATATTTTAATTTAGTTTGTCTTATGTGTCTGAGTATTTTGCCTGCGTGTATATCTGTGTACCAAGTGTTCACCTAGTGCCCAGGAGAGGGCATCAGATCCCCTGGCACTGGAATTACAGACAGCAGTAAACTGTCATGTGGGTGCTGGGAATCAAACTCAGGACCTCTGAAAAGGAACCCGGTGCTCTTAACCACTGAGCCATTGCTCCACCCCCATAAATATTCAAACAAACAAACAAATAAATCAATAATGAGCACATATTAGATTCTTCTGGCCTTAACTCCAAAGAGCAAATACAGTCGATTTAAATATAGGTGACTGGATATTGATATCAGTGTGATTTTTATTCTGCTGTTTTCTTCTTTCCCTCAAATACCATTTTAGTCTCTGGGCCCTGGGCAGCTTTACTTGAAGGCGCCCACAGCTCTGCAGGGTAACTGCCTGCTCTGTCCTTAGCTGTGCCTTTGAAGAGATCTTCTAGCAGGAGAAGCTTTTATCCAGGCCCCCGTGGTTCCTGTGTGGAAACTGTTTGAAGGAGAGCCTCCTCCATTGCTCCACTTCTTCCCTGTCAGTCGATGAATGGTCTCCCCAGAAGCAGGGCACACAGGTTACTGCAGACATTCTAGGAAGGCGGAAGACCTGGGTGGTAGAATTATCCTCGGAATGCCAGCATCTTCTGGACGCTTCTCAGAGTCTCAGGAATGCAGACTGATCTATCCCTTCTAACCAGCACTTTGTTTTCTTGTCCCCACTCCCTTTTTAAAAAGTTATCTTACCTCCTCCTGGCTTCTTGCCCGAAGGGAGAGGCGTTTGATTTGAGTTGGAGCCCGTGTCTTTGCTCTTCGCCAGCCCTGTTCCAGGAGGGAGCATACTGGTGTCCACAAGCTCTACAAGCTCCTACCCTCCGCCCCTAGCCCTTGGCAGCAGACAGTCTTAGATCTCTTCTTCCTGGCTAGGAACACATACATCTCCTGCCACCCGCCTTGGCAGTCTGGACCGGTTGCAGCCATGACCTGCCTGGCTTCTCCCCTGTCTGTGTCTTTATTGCCTACTCCTTCCGGAGGCTCGCCTGGAGTCTTACACTGCTGTGCCTCTTGTTAATCTGGTGGTTTTCTGAGGAAGATATAACTTTGCCATAATTTTGTCTAAGGCTTTGAACTTCAGATGCAGCTCATGATAACCTCCAGAAGGAAGAACGTTTTTCTGTTCTTTGTATTTAACTAAGTATTATTGATTAAACTGATAAAAAGGATCCAAGATGAGGCCTGAAGATAGAGCCTGGCTAGTAACTCACTCTGGTGGGGGCTCGGTGCCATGTGCATGTCTGGTCCTCTGCTTGTCTGCCAGGAGTTTCTGAAAAGCAAAACTCCCTCTTCTCTTTTCTCTCCTGTGTTTATGTGTGCTTGTGTCTGTTTGTGCATTTGTGTGTCTGTCTCTCGTCTGTCTGTGTACATCTGTCTGCCTTGGTCTTTGTGTCTGTCTTCCTCTGTTTCTTTCTCTGCTGTGTCTCTATTTCTCAGTCTTTATCAGTCTTTGTGTTTGAGTATTTTGCCTGCGTGTATATCTGTGTACCAAGTGTTCACCTAGTGCCCAGGAGAGGGCATCAGATTCCCCTGGAACTGGAATTGCAGACAGCAGTAAACTGTCATGTGGGTGCTGGGAATCAAACTCAGGACCTCTGAAAAGGACCCTGGTGCTCTTAACCACTGAGCCTTCGCTCCACCCCCATGTGTGTTCCCATCTCTGTGTATGTGTCCGTGTGGCGGGTCTGTCTGTCTCTCTGTCTGCTCTCAATCCCCCTCCCTTCCCCCCCCCCCCCCCCCCCCCCCCCCCGTATTTTGAAGTAGAAGATGTTTGCTAAGCCTGGATTTGAATTTCCTAGTCACATATATGGGGATGCCCCTTTGGATCGGGTGACTGATGATTCAAATTTTTATAGCTTTAGATCCTTGTTATGTTTGTGGGCAATATTCTCTTTCAATATTTCAATATTCCAGAAATGGCAGTTGTTGGGTCAAGTCTAGGCATATGCCAGGCATGCTCGGGAGTCTTCAGCAGATGACCAGAGTTAGAGATTTGCGGGGTGCATGAAGTAACTCATGCATTTGCATGATGAACTGCTGATTCTAGTCTCAGCTTTTATCCCTCTCCCCAGAGTGCCACCCATCCTGCAGGCAGTGCCATGGGCCCCTGGAATCGGACTGTGTCTCCTGTCACCCCCACCTCATTCTCACCAAGGGGCGCTGTAAGACCAGCTGCAAGGAAGAGCAGTTCCTGAACTTGGTTGGGTACTGTGCTGGTGAGTGATGCCTCTTTGGGGTCCTGGGGAATTCTGGGGTGGCTGCTAAGGGCTTCATACCAGGCAAAAGGGTGTTGGTGCCTGTCCATTTGGTTGAGACTAGAAGCACTTTTTTCCAGTCAATACTTGTTTGTTGTCCAGGAACTGACTTCACTGTATTTCCGCAAGCATTTGATGAATGGGGATTCAAATGTAACCGTTTTCATTTGTTCGTTTCCCTTTCTTATTTTTCTTTTTTCGAATTAGGGTCTCATTTAGCCCAGTGTATTAGTTACTTTTCTTATTGTTGTCATGAAATGCCAGAGTGACTTGAGAAAGGCAGAGTATTTGGGCTCACAGTTTGTGGGCACAGCCCATCATGGATAGGAAGGTACGGTGCAGGAGCTTGAGATAACTGCTCCCATTTCATCCGCAGTGAGGGAGCAGAGAGAGATGGATGCCATTGCTTCCCTTGCTTTCTCCTCCTGTTTCCATTCCAGACCCCAAACCCATGGAACAGTGCCCCCATGTTCATTCGGGGTGCATCTTCCTTCCTTCCTCCCTCCCATCCTGTTTCCATTGTGATTCAGTCAAGCTGGTAATGAAGACTAATCTTCACACACAGTCGGAACTTGCCATATAACTGAGTATGGCCTTGATCTCCTGACCCTCCTGCCCCCTCCTCCCACATGTGAGGATTCCAGATGTGTAACACCACATTTAGCTTCGGATAGACATTTAATAATGTTCTTCTAAGTCCTGAAAGAAAATCATATTAATGGGAAATGAAGTGATGGTTATAGTACTTTTATATGCATTTAAGGTACCAAAACTGCATTTTCAAAACATTTGTTCTATTTTCCCCCATGTTTACATTATCTGCTCTTTGGTGGCACAGAATCTTAGGGAGGTTCAGCTAAAAGTAGACGAGTTTCAGCTGGATGGTGGTGGCACACACCTTTAATCCCAGAACTCAGGAAGCAGAGGCAGACAGATCTCTGTGGGTTCAAAATCAGCCTGGTCTACAGAGCTAGTTTCAGGACAGCTAGGGCTGTTGTACAGAGAAACCTTGTCTTAAAAATAAATAAATAAATAAATAAATAAATAAATAAATAAATAAATAAATAAATCCTGAGAGAGAGAGAGAGAGAGAGAGAGAGAACTAAAAAAATGTAGACCAGTTTCCTCAGGAGATAAATTTTTTTCTTCCTCATTTTAGAATCCAAAGGAAGGGAGGGAAAGAGAGAGGGAAGAAGGACTTGAAGTGTCAATAGCATTGGAACCATACAACACCTGCAACCATCCACCTAGACATTCAGAGAACAACATCAAAATATCTGTTTTTGAGTCTGCTAATTGATAGATTCTCAGACTACAAGGAGAAAAAGTATGTTAATGACCCAGCTGCTCAAGAGAGTAGAGGCTATTGTATATTCCACTGTCCTCTGTGAATTGTAGAGCAATTTGCCTTCAGCAGTGACTACCTTACTTTTGAGGAGTTGGGCTGGGAGGCATGCTGGGATGTACATGTAGGTAGGAGTGATGAGCAAGTAGGATCTAGTGGGAAACTAACCCAGCTTTGTGGATTAACCTGGAGCAGGAAGGAACTCTGGCCCAATGTCCAGCAGGCAAGATCATACTGAGACATCGCCCATAACTGCCATCTTGTTTAGTTGGGGGACATTACGTCATTGTCAATGTTTTCAATGTGACCGGTTGGTGCCAGTATCTTGCCAGAGGCATGGCTTCTTTTGCATGTGATATTAAGCCTAGATACTGGCCACTAGGCTCTATCATCTAACAAAACTGAAAACTGTCGATTGCAGGACAGCATTGGGACAATGGTGAATTCTGAGCAAAATCTCAGTCACAGAAACTGTGAACCTTTAGAGAACTAACAGCTGCAGTTCGGCATCCAGGTTTGAGTCTAGTCAGAGGCTGACTGGAGCATAGCTCAGTGATAAAGCTCTCATCTAGCATGCACAAGACGCTATGTTCTGTCTAAAACAACAAACACAAACTGTACCAGATGCTGGATGGAGTGCATTTCTGGTGCTGCCAGTTGAAGCGCTGTCTTGGAAGGGAGACAAACATTCTTGTCTCCTCCCAAGGGGATGTCTGACGGCAGGTGTTGACAGTTACAGCTCATGGCAGGTGTTGACAGTTACAGCTCAAACATCTGAGTTCAATGCTGAGCCTTACCCTTGTAAGGTATACAAGCTTCTGCCATGAAAACTTAGATTCCCAACATGTGTGTTAGTCAGCTTCATGTAACTACTGTGTAACTATTTTAGTAACATACCAGATGCAACTAACTTAGAAAAAGAAATGTTTTCTTCAACCTAAATGCCCCTCAACTGAAGAATGGATAAGGAAAATGTGGTACATTTACACAATAGAGTACTACACAGGGGGGAAAAATAATGACTTCTTGAAATTTGCAGACAAATAGATGGATCTAGAAAACATCATATTGAGTGCAGTAACCCAGACCCAGAAAGACAATTATCACATGTACTCACTCATAAGTGGCTTTTAGGCATAAAGCAAAGAAAACTGGCCTACAAATCACAATCTCAGAGAACCTAGACAACAATGAGGACCCTAAGAGAGACATACATGGATCTAATCAACATGGGAATTAGAAAAAAGACAAGATCTCCTGAGTAAACTGGGAGCATGGAGACCATGGGAGAGGGTAGAAGGGAAGGGGAGAGGAAGAGAGGGAAGCAGAGAACATTGTAGAGCTCAAGAAATGTTTCCTTTAGCTTCGAATTTCAAAAGTTCAAGCCTTGTCACTGGCTTTACCTCAGTTTGGGAGGGGCCTTTTCTCTCTGCTATGTCTATCGGGGAATAAGCATACCTGTACGAAAGGCCCATGTTATAGAACAGGAAGTCAAAAGCCGAGACTAGAGTCCTACAGTCCCCATAAAGGCATGCCGCCAGTGACCAATACACTCTAGACAGGCTTGCAAAGCTTCTCCTACCTACTTCAGCAGTATTGTTAGCCGGGGACTGAACCTTGAGGTCCCAAACCTCGCTGACAGTGGGTCGTGAAAGTGTATTAGTGGATTAGGCTGAGTTGCTCTTGTGAGGAAGCAGAGAGACATTTCAGGCTACTGAAGGGGAGGAACTGAAGATACAGCTGACAAATAGTACCAATGGGTTTGTACCAACATATCTGCAGGTCCTAAGGACTGCAGGAGTTCAGTGCGGGTCAGGGAGGGGAAAGAACAAGACATAGAAGGCTTCACAGAGCCGCTGACCCTGGTTTGCTTCCTGCAGATCAGCAAGGGTTGGGTAGGACAGAGCGGGGGCAGACCTGGGAAGTAAAGGATACCTACTGGTCCTGTGTGGCCTGTGAGACATCTTTACCAGCGATGAGCAGGCCGGCACTGAAGAACATGATGAGAACAGCTTGGGAAATTTAAGTTGAAATCAGAAAATAGAGGGCTTGAAGTTTCGGGCAAAAGTTGAGGCTGGATCTTGAGCACTGGGAGAGTTTTGGGGAGAGCTGTGCCTTGACTAAGGGTGTGCTATGTGAAGGACAGGCTAGAGTCGAGGGGTGACTTAAGGGATAATATTTGTGGTAGAGTGTGAACTTTACCTCTCGTGGTCAATTTTCTGTTCCTGTCTGTTTTGCATGTGGACACTAAAACTTTTATGCTATGACATATTTTATAAATAAATGCTTATATAAGGAGATTGGAAAGATTTAATAGTTAATGAGCTCTGTTCTCTCCAAAGTCCGGAGCACTGTTTGATGGTAAATTAGGTGATAAGGGGCTGCATTAATATTTTTAAGGCTAATGGAACCCTTAGAATAGAGAATCATAGTAGTGGACTCAATGGCTTTGGAGTCATTGAACAAGCCCCATGAAAAAGGGCTGCGGAGAAGCCTTGACTGTCCCTGAACATTTGGGCGCATTCTTGATTTTAAGTGCAGTTATCACCCATGCTCAAAAATATTTCGTTGCATAGAAATTGTTATAAGTGTATTTCAATTATGAAATCATAAAAAAATGTGTTGATGTAGAGGTTTACTTTGTCACTAAGCATGTGACTTTCTAGTTCATCAAGTGTTTAGTAAACTCGTGTTCCTTGCCAGGCTGGCTCTGTGCAGGCTCTGGGGATAGAGATGAAGATGTGTTACTTGTACTTCACTAAGATGTAGCTTAATGAAGGATGGCACATTTGTTTGCCAAGGCTACCATAATACTGGAGGATGGGAGAGTTTAACAACAAAAAATGGATTTCTCACTGCTCTGGAGGACGCAAGTCCAAGACTAAGGTACCCACGGGATGGGTTTCCTAGAGGTCGCTCCTTGCTGTAAGCTTTCTGCCTTTGTAAGACCATCTTCTTTGGGGGATAGGTCGGTAGCCCAAGCTGACTTAGAAATCATGATAGTTTTCCTCCCTCTATCTGTCCCCCAAGGGCTGGCATTTCAAGCATGGCCCGGGCATTTTTTTTTTCTTTTAGCAGGAAGTGTCATGGTTGCCTTTCTGTGAAGAGAAAGATTACAGAAGATGGCTTGGAAGATGCTGAGGGCAGAAAGACCTCTATTAGATAATTCCAGGAACCCGGATGAGCTTTCAAGCCAAGATGAAGGGGAAGGAAGGGACTTAGCCTCCCTGGATGTAAATGATCCATTAGATTTTTTGCTATTTGCCAGCAAAAATGATCCAAGAGGGGCAATTTCATGTGGTTTAGTTTAATAGAGCAACAGAGATAGTTGCTCTCTTGCCTTAGTGGTGAGGGAGCGGGAGAGTCACATGGTTTCCGGGTTTCAAGTCATGGAAATTCAAAGGGAGGACAGGAACAAGTGTAACAGACATTCAGGTTTGCATTTGGACAAGTTGGACTTGGAGTGACAGTTGGACAACAGGAGTACTGTCCCAGAAGAGGTTGAAGGGATACATAAATAGCTACCAGCTCAGTTCCTGCTTACTGTTACCCTGAACTGAAGCTCCTAGAATTTCATTTTTATGTTGATATGTTGCTTTACTTCATACCAAGTGTT